AAACAGGCACTTCACCAAAGAATACATTCAGGCAGTCAACAAACCTATGGAGAAATGCTCATGATCACTCGCCATTTGTTGTTGTTAAGTGCCTTTGAGTCAGTTCCAACTCATAGCGACATTGTAGAAGACTTCCAAGGAAGAGCTGGTGGGTTTGAACTACCAACATTTTGGTTCACAGTTCGGTGCTTACCTTATGAATCACACCTGGAGTCCATTAGCCATTGTTGTTGTTGTTGTTGTTAGGTGGACGAGTCGGTGCTGACTCATAGCAACCTTATGCACAGCAGAACGAAACACTGCCTGATCCTGGGCCAACCTCACTATCGTTGCCATTAGAGGGATGCAAATCAAAACAACAATGAGATACAGTCTTTCCCCCAGCATTGATAGCAAAGTTCAAAAGAACCAGAAAACAGCAAATCCTGGAGAGGATATGGAGAGACTGGGACCTTCCTACACTGGTAGTAGGACTGTAAAATGTTGCAACTGCTGTGGAAAACCATATGGCACTTTCTCAGAAGATTGGGAAATACCACGTGTACCAGCAATCTCTCTATTTGGTTTCTATGCTTTAGAAATAGAGCCATGACATAAATAGACACATGCATGTCCATGTTCATTGCAGCATTATTCATAATAGCAAAAAGGTGGAGACAGCTTAAATGCCTATCAGGAATGTTGAAAAACTTTGGTAATACACATAAAGGATTATTTTGCAGCGTTGAGAATAACAGTGAATCTGCAAAGAACTGCGTAACAGAGAGGAATCTGGCTGACATTATGCTGAGTGAAATTAGTTGATTGCAAAGGGACAGATAACTATATGACACCACTACTGTAAAGATTTTTCATTCTGTAATAAACTTTCTATGATGTGAGGGAAGGGATTATTCATTGAGTAAAGTGTAGTCGGTCACCTGCTAACTTGAATGACGGGGAAGGCAGTTAAAAAGAAAAGGAAGGAAGGGAAAAAGCAAAAAGGAAATTACTTTCTCTCTTTTTTCATGTACTGGGAGGGAATCAATGTATTTTTCTCATTAAAAAAAAAACTTATACATTATTTTTATTTGAAACATGAAGGTCAGATTACTATGACAACGTCCTCTGTGTTAGGACATGTTTAATACAGGACAGTCTGACCTCGAATTCCATCTTAATTTTATTTTCTCTAATAACATGGTATCTCTAAAGATGAATTATGATTTTCAGAAAGGTTTTGAAGACTGTCTTGTATAATAAAGCAAGTGATTCTGGGGGCCGGCAGGGGGTGGGGGTGAGGAACTGCTAATAAATAAAATTGAAAAACAAATAGAATTGGAAAGTTTCCATGAACTTTTTGAAACCTTCTTGTATATTGTCCTGTCATTTTATGAATAGAATTTTATTTCTTCCTGCCCAGTTCATTTGACTAAATATTTTTTTCTTGCTTATTACTTAGTTATGCCTTCATCATATGGTAATAATGTTTATAATGTGTCCCCTGAGGTGTTGGTTTTTAATGGTAAAGAAGTATTCACCAATTTCTACTCATTGAGAGTTTTTATTAGGAATGGTATTAAATTTTGTTGCATGTTTTTTCAACATTTGTGAAGATGAATATATTAATTTTTTCCTTAGGTGTATTATTGTTGTTGTTAATAGCCGTTGAATCTGTTTCAACCCATTGCAACTCTGTATACAACACAATGAAACACCACCTGGCCCTGCACTATCCTCACACCACTGTAATGCTCAAAGCCCGTTGCTTCTGCTACTGTATATTAGTATATTGATTCATTAATGATTTTTTTATATACTGAACCATGCTTAGTGTGTGTGTGGCACTGTGGGTAAATGCACTGGACTGCAAAGTCTATTTTAACCACAAGGTTGGAGGTTCAAGCTTACCAACCGCTCCTCGAAAATCCTACAGGGTTCCTATGGGTTGGAACTGACCTGATGGCACTTAATAACATGCTTACTGTAATTAATGGTGTGGGAGTGGTGTGTGAATGGCTTCACAAGGGGAAAGGAAAATCAAACTGAACAACGTATGATTCATATGAGGCAGAGGTCAGACATTTCTTCTACTTTCCAACCTTCTTTACCAGTCCTGACATAATTGTTTCTTCCATAGCACTGTCTGCTTCTCTGCTGGGTTTGAGAATTCATTGCAATGGCCACACAATTCACAGACAACATTCATGAGTAGGGAGTTTATTTGAGAAGGTAACAGATCATAATTCAGGATCAGAAATACTTACTATGCGGTTCTTTCAATCAGGCACTGCTTTCTCTGGTCCTTGGTTCTCAGCTACTTCACCTTTGCCCGACTCAGGCAGTGTTGCAAAGTTCCTTTAACCCCACCTATAAATGCCCAAAGGGCACTCCACTGTACTATAAGCTTCAGCCTAAAGGTGCCCAGTGCTAGCTCCTCCAGTTAAATGTCTGGAGGCTTCCCACTCTGCAAGCAAGCCTCCTGCGTGAAGGCATTCAGCTGTTCTGAGTCTGTGGGTAGGAAAGCCTGCCATTCTGTCTGGTACTCTGGACTCTGCTGCCATCCTTCTGCTGTCACAGTTGTCTCCTGGATCTCAGGATCCAGGGGTTCAAAGTACCTTCTTTCTTAATGGTGGTGAGATTCCCCCATCCCTATTTCTGAGATGGCAGATTTAAAATCTAGCACTTTGACAAAACTGACCAATCCCCTCATTAGAGTGGCTCTGTAGAATAAACACTGGACGGCTAACCACAGTGTTAATGGTTCAAACCCACCAGCTGCTCCTCAGAAACTCTGTACATAGTTGTGTGAGTCAGAAGCAATTTGACAGCACTTAATAATATCCAGTTATTTGGTGGGAGTTACAAAGATTTTGGCTAGATGGGCAATATTAAGTAATCCATAGCACCACGCTTGCATTCCTTAAATGCATATACTGCTTGGTCAAGTTTGATTCTGTGCTAGAATTTTACTTAATATTTTTACATTATTATTTACAAATGTCATCAGTCATTTTTTGTAGTTATTATCACATTTAAATATTGTTATTTTGCTCCATAAAAACAAATTTGGAAATCTTTCCTTTATTTCTGTGGTCTAGAATAGTTTAAGTAATTTTGGGGGATTATCTGATGTTGAAGGCTTGGTAGAATTCATGATTGGACTGGTACACTTTGGTGAAGTAACTCTTTGATAGCATTCTCTGTTTCATGGATTTTTTTTTTTTTAATTCTAACAGTCAAATTTAGTTAATTGTATTTTCCTAGAAAATTGTCTTTTGCATAGTTTTTCAGATTTATTTACATATGTGCAAATTAAAGAACAAATCTAATGTTTTTAATTAATTACATTCCTTTAATTAACTAATTAATTAAAGGAGTTTTTTTATGAATTCATTAATAAACTTTTCATTAATTCCTTCCTCTTTCCATTTTGAGTACTCTTTTTCTAATCTTTTGATTTAGGCATTTATTTCATTAGATCTTTTTTCTGTGTTGATACAAATATTAAAGCATCTCCATTTTCCTCAGATCATTATTTGTTTTGCCTTGGTTAAGATTTCCATATAGAGAGTGAGTGTACAGAGAAACTGTACTCTTGATTAGAATGCAAGGTTTGTTATGTGGCCATAAGGTAAACTTTATTATATTTGTTGTTGTTAAGCACTGTTTAGTTGGTTCCAATTCATAACGACCCTTTATAGGGTTTCCAAGGAGAGTGACTGGTAGATTTGAACGGTAGACTTTGTGATTAGCGGCCAGTGCTTATCCTATAGCACCACAAGGCTTATAGTTAATAAATAACTTTATGTAAGCTTCCACAGGAGAAAGATGAGGCTTTCTGCTCCTGTAAAGATTTACAGCCTCAGAAATGTTATGCAAGGTCACTATGAGTTGGAATCAACTCCATGACACACCACAACCAAGCTTCATTCATTTGACTTGGCAGCGTAGGAAAGTTTTTTGATAATTGTTTCTGCTTTGTGACTGTGACCACTATGATAAATTGTATATAAATGTTCACAAGCATTATATCTTAATTGGAATCCTGGTGTGGTGCTGTAGGATAAGCACTGAACTGCTAACCACAAGATGGATGATTCAAACAATCACTCCTCAGAAACTCTACGTAAGGTTGAAACACGATGGCACTTAGCAGCAGCAATACTATATCTTTATTGGGAATTATGATCTTAGAATTATAAAGAATTCTTTTTTATTCATTTTATGGGTTTTTCTGACTACCAGTCTGGAGTACTGGTGTGGCACTGGGCTGCAAAGTCAGTTTAAACCTAAAGGTTGGCAGTTCAAGCTTACTAGCCGCTCCTTGGGAACCCTATACAGGGTTGCTATGGGTCAGAACCAACTTGACGGCACTTAACAACAACCAGTCTGTTTACCAACATTTTTCAATCCTCTAATAGATAAAATTCATCTTCCAGTAGATTCTTGAAAAACCACTTGTAATTACAATGCCTCTTGAGTTCTTGTTTTTTAAAAACTTTTTCTATAATTTTGTTACTGTATGCACAGCCTAGCTGGATATAAAATCTTAACTCACACTTTGTTTCCTTTGGTTTCTTAAAGGAGTGTTGCTCTACTTTTGCTTTCTTTTGCATCTTGTTTTCCTTCTCTCTTTCTCCTGACTTTCTTCTTCCCCTCTCCTTGCTATTGATAATCCATTTGAGAGTTAGTTGAAGACCTTCATTCTTAAATGTGTCAGTTGTGTCTCACCTGTGACCTCTGTCGTACGTAACAGTACAACAAAAAAACATAGAGGCACATCTATGCTCTTTAAAAACATTTTTAAAATGTATTAAGTATAATCTAATATGTTTTGGTATATAATAATTTTAAAGATTTGAAAGTGCTATAAAGACCTCAAACATCTGTAACTGATATTTTCAAAAGCGCTATTTTTAATTCGAAAGTGTTTATTTCAGTAAAAACTAGTGGTTTTTTTTATCATAATTTATATTCATACTCAGCATCTAATAATATAATTATATTTTGCTTTGTAGTGTATGTAGAGAATATTTTCAAAATGGTGGGAAGAGAAAAGCACTTGAAAAAGATGAAAAAAGAGCTGTACTCGCCACTAAGACCATTCCAGCCTTAAACCCACATGAGTCTTCTAAACTTGAAGGTCATTTAACCAACCTCAGCTTTACAAGCCCAGAACTTATAACTGAGTAAGTATCTTGGTCCTCGTTAAATTATTGTGCTAGATAACTGTGTTAATGTAAAATCGAATACTAGTTTACATGAAGTAGTGGGCAGCGTGCTTACTCCTCAATTATTTGGTAAAAAAGTAGCACACATTTTTAAGCAATATCTGTAACTAGTATTTCTGTAACTTAACATTGTCCTCACTGAAAATAAGACAGGATAGTTTATTAAATGTTAAAATAATTCTTTTAGTGGCAATTCAAGGAAGCAAAAAAGCAAACTCTAATTCAATGATGCCTTTTTAAATTGGCAATCCACTAACTAAGATTTCACAAGAAAGGAAAAATTGCAAGAGTATTAGTAGAACCAATTGCTGTTACTTTATTGCCGAAATAAAAATCTCTCTGCTAAAATGTATTTTATGCAGGGACACAAATTTTATTTTATAAATCCATGAGTTGTTATCATCCTATTAATATTTTAGTAGTAAAATTCTTTATACACCCAAGTGTCAGAATGGATTTGCAGTACCAAGTAATACTGTATAGCCTCTTGAAAATGCTAAACTTGAATAATTCTAAAACATTGTTGCTAGACACAAAAAGCTAACCATGAGAAAGGAATGGGAGTCTTAAAGCAGTTCCAAATTCAGATGCATGTAGCATTAAGTACAGCTCTCATCAAGGTGGAAGCGACTCATAGTGACCCTGTAGGACACAGCAGATCTGGTCCTTAGGGTCATACATTCAATCTTATTAGGAACAAACAGCTTCATCTTTTTCCTGTTGAGTAGCTGGTGGGTTTGAGCCATTGTCCTTGTGATTAGCAGTGTATCACTTAACCCACTATGCCACCAGGATTCTTTACCTGTGTTTATAAATAATTTCATTTTAAATTAGTATGCCTTTAATTACTTCAGTTGGAATGAATAAGGCATGTTTTTGCCTTTGTTCAAAAGTCACCGTAAACTTTACAAAGAGTAATGACTTGCTAAACATCTTATAATTCAGGTATTATAAACAGTCTTTCAAATGTATAAAAAGTTATACATTTAAAAATAAAAAGATAAAAAGTTATATAATTACAGTTTTGTCAAAAACAGGTGCAAATGGAAATGATCAGTTTTAGAAGCTCAGTTTGGTTCTTTTTTAAAGTCTCTTTATTGAGATTATGGATTTGCAGATTCATTGTAATCATAATTTCCTTTCGTTTTTTAACATGATTTTTTAAAATTCTTTGAAGAGAATATTTAAAGCTGCTTTGAGATCCTTGTTTACTGAAGCCAGCATAGAGACCACGTAAAGTTCTTTCTGTTTACTGCTCCTTTTCTAAAAGTATAGGTTGCACTCTGTGTTTCTTGTTTATTCCTTTTTTCATATTTTTGTTTTTGAAGACAACTTTTTAAATATTATATCATAGAAATTGTCTGTTTGGATTTCCCCTCTAAGGGGCTTTGTGATTATAGTTGTCTCTGTGTGTTTAAATAACTTGCCTGAACTGAGAGTCTGTAGAGTCTGCCTCCCTCACTATTGTGCACATGCTGATGTCTATGGTCAGATTTTGCCATTGCAAAATCTTTAGGTCAGTTTTATAGGAATCGCTTCATGTCTACATAAGGGGCTGGGAATAAACAATGCTACATCAGTAAGGCTTCCCTTCTGCCAGTGGATGAAGTTAAGTAAGCAAGTAGTGCTACAGAATCATAGAAACCTTTATTAAACAGAACCATCAAGTTGTGAAGCTATTGTTTCTTAACATATCCTCCATCTAGGTCTGTACACTTCTGAAGGTGGTATTTGCCTCTCTCTGACCTAAAGAATTCAGTGCTCTATGATTTACACAACATTAAAAAGGCAGATTTAGCATCCTCAAGGGACTTCGATCGTATTCCTTTTCATTGGTTTTTTAAGTTTGGGGAACAAAAAGAAGTCTGAAGAGGCAAGATCAGGGGTGTAGGTGAGAGGGGTTTCCAATACAATTGTTATAGAACAGCTGCACTTGAAGGGTAAGTAGAGTCATCGACTTGATAGAAAAAATTCCTTAACACAACTTTCCTGGCCATTTTATCAGCAGCGCTGTTTTCAGTTTTCTTAGCTTCTTCTTGGTAAGTCCCCTGTGATTGTCCTGTGTCCTTCTCAAAACAATCTGTCTAGACTACCCCTTTGGAACCCAAAAGACTGGCATCATAGCATAGCTTTCTAAACTAACTTCTCTACCCAGCAAATCCCCATGGAAGCCACTTTTAGGAGCTTTTTTTTTTTTTTGAAGGCATCGTAATGAGACAAAGACAAGTGTATTACTGAGAGAACTTGCCTGTAGCCATCCACTGGTCACAGAGGTATGTTTGAACTCATTTTGTTTAGAATAAACCCCATGCATGTATGAACTGGAACCCTAGTAGCAATATTTTTTTTGCTTATGTAGCCAATATAAGGAAAACAGAAATCCTCGCCACTGGACCAATAAACAACATTCTTATAAACAGAGAAAAGATTGAAGTTGTCAAGGACTTCATTCTTCTTGGATCAACTATCAACACTCATGGAAGCAGCAGCTAACATATCAAACAATATATTACGTTAGGCAAACCTGCTGTACAAGACCTTTTTAAAGTGTTGAAGAGCAAAGATGTCAGCCTGAGGACTAAAGTGCGCCTGACCCAAGCCCTGGTATTTTCAGTAATCTCATAGGCATGCGAAAGCTGGACAGTGAATAAGGAAGACTGTAGAAGAATTGATGCTTTTGAGTTACAGTGTTGGAGGAGAATATTGTAAGTGCCATGGGCCGCCAAAAGAACCAACAGATCTGTTTTGGAAGAAGTGCAGCCAGAGTGCTCCTTGGTGGTCAAGATGGCCAAATTTTTTCTCATTCTTCGGACATATTGTCAGGAGGGACCAGTTGCTGGAGAAGGATACCATGTTTGGTAAGGTGGAGGGTCAGAGAAAGAGAGGAAGACCCCCAATGAGATGGATTGGCCAAGTGGCAGCATCGATGTACTCAAGTGTGGCAACAGTAGTGAGGTTGGCCCAGGATCAGGCAGTGTTTTATTCTGCTGTGCATAAGGTCGCTATGAGTCGGTGCTGACTCGATGGCACCCAACAACAACAAATGTTTTGATTGGAAATTGCATTTAAAATTTTGGCAGTCTACCTCATCCTTTTCCTCTCTGAAGGCTCTGTTGCGTCTCCCCTGTATATTTGTGTAGCATTAGCATGGCCACATGGAGAGCTTATCCTGCCCCTGACTGCCTCTCTCATTCCTAGAATCTTTCTGTTAAATTTCAAATTCCTAAGTAGTCTTCTAGGAGTTCAGGTGTGGCACTGCAGGATAAAGCACTGGACTACAAGTTTGGCTTGAATCTCAAAGTTGGTGGATCAGATTCACCAGCCGCTCCTTGGAAACCCTGTACAGGGTCATTATGAGTCAGGATTGACTGGACGGCAGTTAACAACAACAACTAGTCTTCTAGTCTGTAAGTCAGCTCAACAAAGACTTTAACCTAAAGCTAGCAGAAAGCAGACTTTCCACCTTTGTTACTAACAGAGCTCTATGTGAGTTTTTCACTATTTGCTCCAAACCAAGTTAGCCCCTCCAGCAGGGACACTGACCAGGTAGAACTTCCATACCAGCTGAGCAGGAGGTGGGGATGATAAAAGCAGCTTCAGGCAAGAGTGCTGAAGATCTTCACTGCTCTTACCCTGAGATCAGCCAGTCTCATGAATTAGCATTTCTGAGTGTTAAATTTGCCAACCTCTTTATTCTCTCATTGCTGAAAATATCTGTCTCTGGTTTAGTTTTGTAAAAAAAAAAAAAGTTTCTTCTTCAAAACTAAACTTGATATTAGGAAGGGAGTACTGGTGTGTGGCACTGTAGGATAAGTACTGGACCACAAAGTTGGTTTGAACCACAAGGTTGACGGTTCAAATCCACCAGCCATTCCTTGGAAACCCTATACCGGGTCACCATGAGTCAGAACCGACTGGATGGCAATTAACAACAACAATATTAGGATGTAGTCCTGTGTAGTGTACAGGACAAGCACTGGACTGCTAACTGCATTTCAAAGCTACTAGCCACTCTTGGTAAACTATATAGCATCGCTGAGTCAGAACCAACTCCACACACTTAACAGCAACAGTATTAAGATGGCTATGTTTCCCTCCCTAGATCATCTTTGCATACGTATTTGTGATTGACAAAGTAACTTATTTTCCTGTCTTTAGAAGTCTTTGTATTTTCTCGAGTTACTGGTTAGCAAAAAGAATATAGTTTAAGACACTGAACTAGCCTTCTCCCCATTTCCCAATCTGAAGTAGCATTGACTTACTCTTAACTGATTATTTTGTTGGAAATTTGGCATGTTTTGTTTCTCACTATTGTTTTATCTCAGCAATTATGCTTTGTACTTGAATTTTTATTTCTTTGCAATAGATTCCCAGAAGTGGATTTCTAGATTGAAGAATATGAATTGTTCTAGGCTCTTGTGCATAGTTACTGAATTAGAAAAGATTATACTAATTCCATTACCTCTAGCAGTGTAAGTACCCAGTTTGCCAAAACTCACCAGCATTGCATATTTTCATTTTTATTAACATAATGTAATAAAATGGTATCCTATTCTGTTAATGTAAAGGAGCTCTGGTAATGTTGTTGTTGTTGTCAGGTGCCATCGAGTTGGAACCAACTCATAGCGACCCCATGCACAGAAGAACGAAACAATGTCCGATCCTGGGCCAACCTCACT